TCAATCCAAACTGAACAATATTTGCATTATAGGGGTATGATGAGAAGAAGAGAGAGAAAAAGGGACAGAAAGTGTATTTGAGGAGGAGGTCACTGCTGAAAACTTCGCCAATCTGGGGAAGGAGATAATCTCTCAGACCATGGAGGTGCACAGATCTCCCAACACAAGGCACCCAAGGAGGACAAAAAAGAGACATATAATAATTAAAATGGCAAAGATCAAGGATAACGACAGACTGTTGAAAGCAGCCAGAGAGAGAAAAAGATCACATACAAAGGAAAGCCCATCAGGATACCATCAGACTTCCCAGCAGAAACCTTAAAGACCAGAAGGGATTGGCGTGGTATATTTAATGCATTGAAGCAGAAGGGCCTGGAACCAAGAATACTCTATCTGTCAAGATTAACATATAAATTTGAAGGAGGGATTAAACAATTTTCAGATAAGCAAAAGCTGAGAGAATTGACCTACCACAAACAACCTCTACAGTGCATTATGGAGGGACTGCTATAGATGGAAGTGTTCCTAAGGTTAAACAGCCATCACCAGAGGTTATAAAAAGGGATAGACAAAGAGTACAGAATATGATACCTAATATATAAAGAATGGAGGAGGAAAAAAAGGAGGAGAAAAAAAAAGAACCTATAGATTGTGTTTGTAATAGCATACAAAGTGAGTTAAGTTAGTCTCTTAGATAATAAGGAAGTTATCCTTTAACCTTTGGTAACCACGAATCTAAAGTCTGCAAATGCAATAAGTACATACCTATCAATAATCACCCTAAATGTAAATGGACTGAATGCACCAATCAAAAGACATAGAGTCACTGAATGGATAAATAAACAAGACCCAACTATATGCTGCCTACAAGAAAGTCACTTCAAACCTAAAGTCATACACAGACTAAAAGTGAAGGGATGGAAAAAGATATTTCATGCAACTAATAGGGAGAAAAAAACAGGTGATGCAGTACTTGTATCAGACAAAATAGACTTTAAAACAAAGAAAGTCACAAGAGACAAAGAACGACATTACATAATGATAAAGGGGTCAATTCAACAAGAAGATATAACCATTATAAATATCTATGCACAGAACACAGGAGCACCTACATATGTGAAACAAATACTAACATAATTAAAAGGGGAAATAGAATGCAATGCATTCATTCTAGGAGACTTCAACATGCCACTCACTCCAAAGGACAGATCAACCAGACAGAAAATAAGTAAGGCGACAGAGGCCTTGAACAACACATAAGAACAGATGGACCTAAAAGACATCTACAGAACTCTCCACCCAAAAACAGCAGGATATACATTCTTGTCAAGTGCACATGGAATATTTTCAAGAATAGACCATATACTAGGCCACAAAAAGAGTCTTAGTAAATTCAAAAAGACTGAAATTGTACCACAAGCTTCTCAGACCACAAAGGTATGAAACTAGAAATAAACTATGCAAAGAAAATGAAAAAGACTACAATCACATGAAGGCTTAACAAAATGCTCCTAAATAACCAATGGATCAATGACCAAATAAAAACAGAGATCAAGCAATATGTGGAGAAAAATGACAGCAATAATTCAACACTGCAAAAATCTGTGGGATGCAGTGAAGGCCATGCTAAGAGAGAAGTACACTGCAATACAAGCATACCTCAGGAAAGAACAACAATCCCATATGAACAATCTAAATTCACAATTAACGAAACTAGAAAAAGAAGAACAAATGAGGCCCAAAGTTAGTAGAAGGAGTGACATAATAAAGCTTAGAGCATAAATAAATAAAATCAAGAAGAATAAAACAATAGAAAGAATCGATGAAAGCAGGAGCTGGTATTTCAAGAAAATAAACAAAACAGAAAAACCCCTAGCCAGACTTATCAAGAAAAAAGGAGAGTCTACACACATAAACAGAATCAGAAATGAGAAAGGAAAAATCACACCAGACACCACAGAAATACAAATAATTATTAGAGAATACTATGAAAAATTATATGCTAACAAACTAGATAACCTAGAAGAAATGGACAACTTTCTAGAAAAATACAACCTTCCAAGGCTGACCCAGAAAGAAACTTAAAATCTGAATAGACTAATTACCAGCAACAAAACTGAATTGGTAATCAAAACACTACCTACGAACAAAACCCCTGGAACAGATGGCTTCACCGCTGAATTTTATCAAACATTTAGCAAAGACCTAATATCCATCCTTAAAGTTTTCCAAAAAGTAGAAGAGGTGGGAATACTTCCAAACTCATTCTATGAAGCCAGCATCACTGTAATACCAAAACCAGACAAAGACACCACAAAAAAAGAAACTTACAGACCAATATCCCTGATGAACATAGATGCAAAAATACTCGACAAAATATTAGCAAACCGAATTCAAAAATACATCAAGTGAATCATATACCATGATCAAGTGGGATTCATCCCACATACACAAGGATGTTAAAACATTTGAAAATCCATCAACATCATCCACCACATCAACAAAGAGGACAAAACCACATGATCTTCTCCATAGATCCTGAAAAAGTACTTGACAAAATTCAACATCCATCCATTCATGATAAAAACTCTCAACAAAACTGGTATAGACAGCAAGTACCTCAACATAATAAAGGCCATATATGACAAACACACAGCCAACATCATACTTAACAGTGAGAAGCTGAAAGCTTTTCCTTTAAGATCAGGTGCAAGACAAGGATTCCCACTCTACCCACTTTTATTCAACATAGTTCTGGAGGTCCTAGTCACAGCAATCAGACAACACAAAGAAATAAAAAGCATCCATATTGGTAAAGAAGAAGGTAAACTGTCACTGTTTTCAGATGACATGATTTTGTACATAAAAAACCCCAAAGAATACATTCCAAAACTACTATAATATCTGAATTCAGCAAAGTTATGGGATACAAAATTAATACACAGAAATCTGCTGCACTCCTATACACTAATGATGAACATACCCATAGAACAATGGAACAGACTAGAGAGCCCAGATATAAACTCAAGCATATATGGTCAATTAATATATGATAAAGAAGCCATGGATATACAATGGGGAAATGAAAGCCTCTTCAACAACTGGTGTTGGCAAAACTGGACAGCTACATGCAAGAGAATGAAACTGGATTTTTGTCTATTCCCATACACAAAAGTAAACCTGAAATGGATGACAGACCTGAATGTAAGTCATGCAACCATAAAACTCTCAAAAGACAACATAAGCAAAAATCTCCTGAATACAAATATGAGCAACTTTTTTCTGTATGCCTCTCCTCAAGCAAGAGAAACAAAAGCAAAAATGAACACATGGGACTACATCAAACTAAAAAGCTTCTGTACAGCAAAGGACACCATCAACAGAACAAAAAGGCATCCTACAGTATGGGAGAACATATTTGTAAAGGACATATCCAAAAGGGGTTAACATCCAAAATATATAAAGAACTCACACACCTCAACACCCAAAAAGCAAATAACCCAATTAAAAAATGGGCAGAGGATATGAACAGACAATTCTCCAAAGAAGAAATTCATAAGGCCAACAGACACATGAAAAGATGCTCCACACCATAATTATCAGGGAAATGCAAATAAAAACCACAATGAGATACCGCCTCACACCCATTAGGACAGCCACTATCGAAAAGACTAAGAACAACAAATGCTGGTGAGGATGTGGAGAAAGGGAACCCTCCTACACTGCTGGTGGGAATGTAAGCTAGTCAACCATTGTGGAGAGCAATATGGAGGTTCCTCAAAAAACTCAAAACAGAAATACCATTTGACCTGGGAATTACACACCTAGGAATTTACCCTAAAGAATATAATTTCTCAGATTCAAAAAGACATATGCACCCCTATGTTTTACTGCAGCACTAGTTACAATAACCAAGAAATGGAAGCAACCAAAGTGTCCATCAGTAGATGAATGGATAAAGAAGAGGTGGTACATATACACAATGCAATACTATTCAGCCATAAGAAAGAAACAAATCCTACCATTTGTAACAACATGGATGGAGCTGGAGGATATTATGCCCAGTGAAATAAGCCAGGCAGAGAAAGACAAGTATCAAATGATTTCCCTCATTTGTGGGTTATAACAACGAAGCAAAACTGAAGGAACAAAACAGCAACAGACTCAGACTCCAAGGGACTAGCACTTACCAAAGGGGAGGGGTGATGGAGGGCAGGTGGGGAGGGAGGGAGAAGGGGACTAAGGGGTATTATGACTGGCACACATTGTGTGTGGGGGATCATGAGGAAGACAGTGTAGCACAAAGAAAGCCAATAGAATATAATTAGTTTAAATACCCACCACTGTCACATAGTAACTCTGTGGTATCTTACTATACTGTTGGGCAGTGACTGCAATGGGGTATGGGGGGGGACACAATAACATGGGTGAATGTAGTAACCACATTATTTTTTCATGTGAAATCTTCATAAGAGTGTGTACCAATAATATATTAATAAAAAAATACATAATGATAAAAAAAACTAATATAGTGTTATATATCAATTATATCTCAATGAGAAAATAATAATAGCTTCTATACTTTGAGTGCCTGTGAAGGTACTATACATATACCATTACTATTTCCTAAACAACCCCGACAAGTTGATAATAGTCTAGGTTTACAGAGGAGTGAGGCTGAAAAGGCTTAAAGAAGTTAAATCATTTTCTAAGTAAACAACAAATAGATCTAGAAACAGGATATGATGCTAGTTCTTAATCCAAAGCATGATCTCATTTCAATAGGCCAAAGACGGTAAATCGATTTATACTTATGTCAAATCCTACTTACTGGGAGTAACTGGTATGATTTATGCTTAGAAGCACTCTTACACTATTCTGAAACCCAGAGACAAAAGATACTGCATGATTAATAATGTTGCCATGGGTGTAGGAGGAACAAAATATAGGCCCCATGTTTGCCATTTTAAAACAGGAGCACACTGTACAAGATTCAGTACCTTTCCATGGCTTCAAATCTCATGCCAGTTAGTCTCTTGACTCTGTGACTGCCAGGGAACTGTCTTCTCAGCTCCTGAAGACAAAACTGAAAAAATAATTCGTAAAGACTTGAAGAGTAGTCATTACATTACATAATGGGTACAAGGAATGGCCTACATAGTCTTCAGGTATCTTCTTCAATAATTTCACTAGTGTGAAATAATGACATGAAGTGAAATTAATCAGTAATGAATAAAGAAGGACTCTGAAATTACAGTGAGGGCAACAATAAGTTCTCTGAAACCGATCATGCCCTTAACTGCAAAAATGAGAGATCTTGAGGTCCATGAATAACTCTCAAAGAATACTATATATAACTTCTTAAAAATTGCTTCCATAACGTGCCAGGCCCCACTTAAGTGCCTACAACAGCTTCCTGACTTTTTTTCCTAACTATTGCATAAGCATTCTTTTGATAAAAATTAAGTTCTTTGGTCTAAAATCCCTAGCAAATACTATTAATACTTTGCTTCATTTTGCCCAGTTGAAATCATAAATTAATCATCTTGTCAGTACACATACCCTGATTTGGGATCATAAAACACACAAACCGTATCTATGGATTACCAATCTCATTTGACAGAATATTTATTACCCATCAACTCAACTAAATAATCAAATTATTGAGTACCTACTACACTCTCAGCAACATGTGAGAGATTATAACAGTCTCAGAAGTGCTAGAAATGGTAAGGAATATAAATGAAAAAGGTCTACTCTAGTACCCTAAAGCATAAGTAACCAAAAAAAAAAATGCTTTTAACTAGTAAAAGACACTATTAACCAGTAATAAGTTTAATATGATTTGAAGTATAGTTTAAAAGTTTATAGCTGAAAACTTGCTACACTAAAAACATTCAAGCTGGTCAAAACTGAAGATGATGTTCACTTATTTGTTTGACATCATGTAAATCTCATACTACTTAGTCAATCAAACTAACTGTAGAAATTCTGAACCACAAAAAAAAAATACTGGTCCAAAAAGTTATTGTCTAATTTGATCTCCTTTATCAAATGGCATTAGGCTACTTAAAAAAGATTTTTAAAATTTCCCTCAAGATATAAGCTGCCACCTCTGTGGATATGCAAAAGACTATGTCTCATAGGTTCTAAAGATAATCCAAAAAGGTTGAATATTTTTTACCACTGGCAGCTCCACTGGAATTATGTGTACAGCCAACAAAACGTAACTACCTTGAAAAGGACAATGGTAATTCATATGTTCTCCCGGTACTTCTACTTTGTTTTTGTGTATTTCTTTTTGACTTAAATGAGGAAGCAGCATTAAGCAGTACTGAGGAACTCAGGATCATATAACAATAAAACAACAAAACAGAAAGCTCTACTTCATCATTTGTAAAATAAATATAATATCAGTATGAAATGCAAATTGAGAAATAACTGTGAAAATAAAGCACAATAGAAGCATTTACCACAGTCCCTAGCATGAGTGTTAAAAAATACAGCTCTTATCATTCTTTTATTTTAAAAGCAGCATTAGTATTTTAAGCCACATTCTGTATGTGTTAGAAATTTCTAATAATTGAAGGTATATATTCACAATATTGTAAAATGATATTTAACATTATATACAGATCTTTCTTGATTTATGGTGGGGTTATGTCCTAATAAACCCATCGTAAGTTGAAAATATCAAAAGCTAAAGATGCATTTAATACACCTAACCTACAAAAAAAGCTTAGACTGGCCTACCTTAAACATGTTCAGAACATCTAACACAAAGCCTACTTTATAATAAAGTATTGAGTATCATGTAATTTATTGAAAACTGTACTGAAAGTAAAAAATAGAATGGCTGTAAGGGTATGGAATGGTTTTACTGTAATGGCTGTTTACCCTCATGATCATGTGGCTGACTAGAAGCTGCACTCACCTGCTGCCTAGTATCACTAGACAGTATCGTACCATTAGCCCAGGAAAATACCAAATTAAAAATCTGAAGTATGGTTTCTACTGAATGCATATTGCTTTCACACCATTGTAAAAGTCAACAAATCTTAAGTAAGCTCAAGCATTGTAAGTTAGGGACCACTTGTACTATTAAAGTTATTCAACAGCCCAACAGATAAACTTGTTTTAAACTATCTGCTTATATTAAACTCTGATATAGCATAATTTACCTATTAAATGGATAACCTTCACTAACTAATTTAATCTCTTCAGTAAAACTGGAATACGAAATACCTACTTAGGATTGTTAAAAAGATTTAAGAACATAGTATTCCAAAGTACTGGGTTAGCCCCACCTACACTTAAGAGTACCATCAAAATCCAGCCACAGAAAGCATTCAATACAAGCCATATACTAAGTCTTAACTGCTTATATGTAATTCATGAAGCATATTAAACATAAAATAGAATATAATTAGTTTAAATACCCACCAATGCCAAGTCATCCCGACCATAGTCTAGAGCTGCAATCATCACCTGTTCATATATGATCCAAACTAAATATACAGAGAAAAAAATGAATTTAATATAAAAATATCCCAAAAGATACCAGATCATGAATTCTTATTTCTGATATTTTAGAAAATATTACTTATAAACAGAAATTGACTTATTATATTATACCGGGAATTAAAGGAAGAAGCATCCTCACATGCTTTCAGCAACTTAAAATATTTTCAATACCTCTTACCTCTAGTTATTTAATACCTTTACTGTTCTAAAAGATTCTTTATTTTGATCAGACCAGGATCGCAGCCCTGTGAGCTTTAAAACAAAAAAGCTTTCTTGATAGCTTCACCAGCAATTATTTATCTTTCTCAAAATGAAGTATTTAATTTACTGAGAACATTTTTGAGAAGTGTCAAATTAGATAGACTGATATGAACTGCAGAAAAAACATAATGAAAAGACTGTCTTCAAAAAAAATCTAAGAAACATAAATGGAATGTGCTGAGCATAAATATAATAAAGAACTTACTATCATCTCCAAGCTTAGAAGCATATTCATTAATTAATTCTTCTCCAACTTCCACAATTTGCTCGCTGTTTCGTGAGTTTTCTTCTCTCCACTTTCTCATTTTATCTCGCATTTCTGAAAAAACCCAAAGTTTAATATATATATATATTTGATCAATGCCAAAAAATTGACAAGATGAAATCAACTCCTTAATAAACTTACACTATGTAAAAGTATGTGGTATGTCTAAGTTCATAAGACAGAAAATCAATTTAACAAGAGCAAGAGATCTTTTAGAAGACCAAAAATGCATTACAGAGGATATACAACTATCTTTAAAAATAATGAATGGCATGGGATCACTATAAAGATTCTCTATCCCTTTAAGAAACTATGTACCTTAACTTTTTCAGCTTTCAATGTTCAGAAGTTGATAAAAGCTAGGTCTTATTTTCCCAGAAAAATGTATAAAATTATACTAGAAATCTCAAAAAATTCAAGGTTCTCCCAAAATTCACCCACTAACTTAAGAATATAAAATTTCCATAGTCAGTATAAGCACTAAGGCTATCAACACTGAAGGAATACTCATCACAGAATTCCCTAAATAACAATATTACTACAAGAGTACATATAATATACAAAGATACACAACTATGCAAGGAAAAAACAGCAAAAAGAATAAAATAAAGGAAATCTTTTGATTATATATACAATAAGACATAAAAGGAATAATGTAAAGAACGTCAAAAGCACTAGCAAACAAAAGAAGAGAACAGCTTTGCATATTACAAGAACTGGAGTTTTAAAGAACACCACTTTGATAACAACAGAGATAATAACTGGTAAGAAAAAAAAGTAACTAATCCAATAAACAAAAGATCCCTTGTTTACATAGTTATGGTAGAAGGAACTGTCCAATTTGCCAATCACATACATGTTTCCTTATTCTTGCCTCTGAAAATCTGACATACATACATCTAAAGTACCACCTTCTTCCTTCCATAAGATGTTGAATAGATTTAAACAGTTGAATTAAATTACTGTTGAACAGGAGTTAAATAAACAATATGCCATGCCCTAGAGAATAAATAGAAGCACAAGGAATTTTCATTGCTTTATATACATTATCTGAGTCCCTACAGTTCAAAGTCTACAAAAGAAAACAAAAACCATCATAAAACTAGACCCTAACTGACTTTACAAAAATTGTCTTACAAATGAACATACAGTTAATTCTCTCTGAAACCTAAAAATTAGTTTGAGCCACTCTGCACAGAAAGTAACCTTTAACTGAATTTCAAAGGCTGAAGAGGAATTGAGCAGGCAAACTAAAAAGTTACTCATACTCCACAGGTTAAGGGCTAAGTCCCACATGATTGCCCCCACTTCAGACACCACAAGTCACAAGTCAGGGCCACCAATATTTCTAACAGACTGACTATAAAGTCAAGGGTTCCCAGAACACCCTCCTCAAGTTTGGTATTTTGCTGGAATGGTTCACAGAACTTAGGAAAATTCTTCACTTACTATTATTACTGGTTTATTTTAAAGGATACAACTCAGAAACAACCAAATAGAAAAGATACGAAGAGCAAAGTAGTGGGTGGGGGAAATCAGAAGAGCTTCCTAGCCCTCTTTTGGGTGAGTCTCCATCCCAGCACCTTATGCTGTTCAACAATCTGGAAGTTCTCCAAACCTCATAGTTCACGGACGTTTTATGGAGGTTTCATTCCACTGGCCAACTGATTAAATCACTGGCTATTGGTTATTAATTCAATCTCCAGATCCTCTACCCTCCCCAGGTGACTGAGGGGTGAGACTAAAGTTCCAATCCTTTAATTACACCTTGATCTTTCTGGTGACCAGCATTCATCCTAAAGCTATCTAGCTACCAGTCATCTCATTAGCATTGAAAAAGATACTCTTCTGACTCTAGAAATTCCAATGGTCTTAGAAGCTCTTGTCAGGAACCCAGGACTAAAGACCAAATACTACAACAGACATTCCTATCAACTCTGTTACTTAGGAAATTATAAAGGTTTAGGAGCTCTGTGCCACGAACTGGAGGCAAAGACCAAATATATAATCCTTATTATATCACAATATAACATATGTTATCTTTAAATCCATAATTTGGTTCTTAGAACTCATTCAAACCATATCCCCTGTACCACAGTTGACTTACACCGTCTTAAACCCACATTCTCTTTCAACCTGGCATATAGTTATTTTAAAAGAGTAAGAGCCTTGGGAATGTATTTAGTGTTTTGCAGATCTGTTTCACAACACTGAACTCCTTGCCTATATTCTGACACACAAATTAAGAAATGATAGTCCAGATTTATTAATAAAATAGGCTGTTTGAATTCAAGAATTATCATTTAATCTATTGATAAATTCTTAACTTGCTTCAGAATAGTAATTATCTGCAACACTCTTTAAGAAACAATTCCTGCCCATAACCTAGATACTAAAAGAAAACTGGTTCCTATCTTTTTGTGATTCACCAACAGTCTTCCACTTCTATCACTCACTGTCTGCTTATTCATAACCAAGGTATACTACTGAAAAATCATATTTTAAAATATTCTCCTTTCATCCATTGATATATTATCCCCCATGACTTCTAGCCATTAAAAAATGTATTAATACATTATCTCTATAACATATGCTAGAAATATAAAGATGAAAAAAGAATCATCCCTTGTGCCTGAGAAACTGACAAGCTAACAGAAAAACTGTAGACAACTGCAAAATCATGGGTAAAAGCTAAAATAATGGTATATTGAGAGCATTAAGCAAGCAAAGTGAGGGAGAGATTAATTTAATCTGGCACAGAGAAA